ATTGAAGATCATGATTATGAATTTCGTGTCATAGCAGAAAATGAAGCTGGAAGAGGAATACCATCTGAACCATCAAAATTAACTAAAGTAAAAAAGAAAAAAAAATCTTTTTTTTTTTTTGTATAATTATAAATAACAATCGGTTTTAGGTTAAAGATCCAAATGCATCAACACCACCAGAATTTCTTAAAAGATTAAAAGATATTCAAGGTAATGAAGGTAAAACAATTCGTTTAGAAGCTGAAGTTATTGGAACACCAAAACCAGATATTGAATGGTTTGTTGTCATTCTTATTTTCAATTATTATTATAAGAAACAAAACAAAAAATAAAATTATCTTTCATTCATTTTCAGGTACAAAGGAACTAGAGAATTATCTGACAATCTCAAATATAGTATGACTCGTGAAGGTGATAAATGTATCTTAGTTATTAATAATGCTACACCAGATGATGTTGATGAATATAGTATTAAAGCACGAAATATAGGTGGTTCAAGAATGTGTCGTTGTAATGTAGATGTTCGATGTAAGTTAAAGTCTATTCTTAAAAAACAAAAAAACAAAAAAGATACGCATTGCTTTTTGTTTTAGCACCACCACGTATTCGTTTACCATTAAAATATCAAGATGTTCTTAATTATGATAAAGGTGAACCTATTGTTCTAAAAATTCCATATACTGGTAGTCCATTACCAAATGTAACATTAACAAAAGATGGAAAAGATTTAACAAAAGATAAAAATGTTTCAATTGATGTTAGTCCTCGTGCTGTAACAGTAACTATACGAAATACAGATAAAAATACAAGTGGACCATATGAAATAAAATTAGATAATGATTTAGGTGAAGATACAGCTACATTACGTCTTCATGTATCAGGTAAAAATGTATTATTTCATTTTATTTGATTGTTAAAGTTTCTTTTTCTTTTTGAATAGATGTACCTGATGCACCATCTACTCCAGAAGTGAAAGCAGTTACAGATGATTCAGTTGAATTATCATGGCGTCCACCAGAAAATGATGGTGGAAGTTATATAACAAATTATATTATTGAAAAACTTGATCCTGATACAGGAAAATGGGTTAAAGCAGGAATAAGTCGATTTCCTCATTATAATGTTCAGAATTTATTACCAAATAAATCATATCAATTTCGTGTTACTGCCGAAAATGTTCATGGAGCTGGTGAACCATCAAAACCAACGCAACCTGTTCAAACAAATGGTAAATTTACATATGCAAAAAAAAAGAATATAATAATAAGAATAAATATATTTATTGTTTAGATTCTGATGCATTACGCAGACGTCGTTTAGGACAAGATGATGATTTATTACGACGAAAGAGGAGGGATTTACCAAAATTAGATAATTATGATCGATGCTGTACGTATCTATTTTAAAAACAAATAAGTATTATAGAATGAATCTTTGTCAAACTAATTATTGCTGATGAATGTATTAAATAAGATATTGTTCATTGGCTCAAAATTTAAACGAAAAGTACAAGTATAGTGAAATAAAAAGATAAATGATCAATTGATATTCAATATAGATTTATTCAAGTATTGTAATTAATATTTACTGAAAAGAAATAAAAGATTTCATTATCATAATTATTAACTAAAAATTAGAATAGATAAAAATGAACTTCGTTTTTACAAAATTAGTGTTTCAAAGACTTTTATTTTATTAAATTTACAAATTTTATTTTTTCTCTATTCTAGTCTGGGATATTTGGGATAAAGGACGTCAACCACCACGAGCTACACTAAAACATGGAAGTATTTATGATTATTACGATATTCTCGAAGAAATTGGCCGGTAAATTAATTCATTTCTTCTTTATCTTAAATATTTAATTGTTGTTTTTATTTTTGTTATTTTATAAAGTGGTGCATTTGGTGTTGTTCATCGTTGTATTGAAAAAGCAACTGGTAAAACTTATGCTGCAAAATTCATTCCAACACCAACAGCAGCTGATAAAGCAACTGTACGTCGTGAAATAGAAGTTATGTCGGATTTAAATCATCCAAAATTACTTCATTTACATGATGCATTCGAAGATGAAGAAGAAATGGCTACGGTTACAGAATTTATTGCTGGTGGAGAATTATTTGATCGTATTGCTGATCCAAATTATAAAATGACTGAAGCTGAAGCTATTAAATATATGAGACAAATATGTGAAGGTCTTAAACATATGCATGAAAATCATACTGTTCATTTAGATTTAAAAGTAAGAATAAAAAAAAAAAAAATATCATAAAAAATTGAATGTAATGTTCATTCTTTTTTTTTTTAGCCGGAAAATATTATGTGTGAAACAAGAAATAGTACAAATGTTAAAATATGTGATTTTGGTTTAGCTACAAAACTTGATCCAAATGATATTGTGAAAGTTAGTACAGCAACAGTTGAATTTGCTGCACCAGAAATTGTTGAACATGAGCCTATTGGATTTTATACGGATATGTGGGCAGCAGGTGTTCTTAGTTATGTTCTGTAAGAGAAATGAAAGTGGAGTTTAGTTTTTTATTTTCATTCGAGATTATTTTTAATTTTAGTTTAAGTGGTTTATCACCATTTGGTGGTCATGATGATGATGCTACAGCAGAAAATATACGTAAATGTGATCTACGTTTTCCAGGTGAAGCATTTGGAGGCATATCGGATGAAGGAAAAGATTTTATACAAAAACTTGTATTAAAAAATCGACAGTAAATAATTCTATATTGTTAATCGATTTTTTATTTATTGATGGTTTATTTTTTTTTCTTTAAGTGCTCGAATGACTGTCCATGATGCACTTGATCATCCATGGTTACGTGAAGATCGTCCTGAACGTGATTCACGTATACCATCAAATAGATTTGATAATATTCGTCAACGTATTCGTGATCGATATGTATGTTAATTTTCGAAAATTATTAAAAAATTTTTATTAATTTTGTTTTTTTATTTAAAGGCTGAATATCCTGATCAAATTGTTCCTCTTGGTCGTATGGCTGATTGGAGTTCACTTCGAAAAAATAAACCACAAGATTATAAAATTTATAATAGTTCTTGGGGTAAGAATTTTGTTCATTCTTCTTTTTTTTTTTTTAATTAAATTATATTTAATAATTATATAATAGATCGTCGTGAAGCTGCACCACGTTTTACTCTTCGTCCTCGCAATGCTCATGTTTTAGAAGGACAGAATGCTGAATTTGATTGTCGTATTATTGCTGTATCTCCACCCGTTGTCTCTTGGTAATTTAATCAATTAATATTCAATTATTTATTCAAAAAAAAATGTATTTTATTTTTGTTTTATAGGTATCGTGATAATGTTGAAATGCGTCAATCAACAAAATATTTAAAAAAATACGACCGAAATAATTATAAACTTGAAATAAAACGTTGTTTACAAGATGATAAAGGAGAATATATTGTGCGAGCAGCAAATAGTTATGGTGAAAAAGAATATGCCGTCTTTTTAACTGTTGACAGTAAGTATCATAAGAATATTTAATTATAATAATTATTTTCTTATTGAATAATACATAAGGTAGTATATCTTTCATGATTGATTATGCGACCGTCATCTTTTACTCATTATATATATATATGCGTATAATGAACTTTTCTTTATTCATTTTTCCATTACATAACTTTCTCTATAAAACACAAACCATCTGTATTCTTACTTAAAAGAACATCTTATATAGAACAGATCTTTCAACGTCATCAAACGGTAAAGATATCGCCTTTACTATATATATACGTGTTATTCTCAATATGATCGATTCCTTTTTTTCTTTATACGTGATGGATATTGATAGATTCCATCGATCTTTTTTTTCTTGTTTTAGTCAATGTCAGATAGGATAAATTTTCTTGCTTGTCTAATGAGACTCTTGATTTTCAGTATTGTCATTATGATAGACGTCATCGGTCTACATATCAAGAGAATGTGTATGTCCTTGGACTATTTTTATTATAGGAAATAGTATATAGATAGATCAACTTTATTATTTATTTATTTTTCTCTTTCCTGCTCAATTAATATAATCGAAATATTTGATTTAATATTGTAAAAAGAAAAACTGTAGGCAACTTATTGAAAGTGTTTGTCGTCAAAATAAAAGGTCTGAGGTTGATTGACACCTAACAAACATCAAACAACCAAATTATATGTTGAAAATAGTTTAGTAGCTACGCTATTTTTTTCACTGAATGAATATCAGTGCAGAGAAAATAAAGAAGAGATATATTTGGATTGGTAATATACAAGTAGAAAGAGAAAAAGAACGAGTAAGATGATACGATGTACAGGCAGGATACGAGCTGCTGCTTTTGTTCTCTCTCTCTCTCTCTCTCGCGCGCGCGCGCGCATTCTCGGTATGGTGCAGAAAATATCTCGCGATAGTAGAAACAACGAGAAAAGAAGAAGAAAAAAGAATAATTAACGATATGGGTACTGGTATAGTTGTTGTTGTTGTTGTTGTTGATTTGCGGTGGTGGTAGCCAAGAATGCTCTTGCATCGTATAGTACTTGTCTAAAAGAAAAAGAATGGAGGATGTTGTATCCGTCTTTGCTATTCTTATGTATATGTGTCTACGCATTCACATAACGATGATGTTATTTGATTAGAACCAATATCGTTGAGTAAAGCAGATATTTTGTGTATGTGCGTTTGTGTGTGTGTGTACGTGTTACTTGCACATCCATATTAAAACAGTTCGAGGGACAGGATCTATGTGGTTTCTTTTGTGTATTTGTGTGTCCTAATAGAAACAGCATGGAGAAACGAGAACCAACATATGTGATGTCAACAACTCTCTCTTTCGTCTTTCATGTGGTTTAGATAGCCTTGTTTAGGTTACTTACTCGTCTCTCTCTTCGCTTGTTGTTTTTTATCATCACTCCTCTACTGCCATTGCTGCTGTAAGAGGGAGAGATGGATAACTTTTACTCCAACTCATCGCATTATTCGAGCTTTTCTCGTGTTATGTATGGTGGTTCACCACGACATCATGCTTTTGAAACACCATATGCTTATCGCTCACTCCATCGACAACGATTTTTTCAACGACCACAGTCACTTGGTCCATCTTGTAAGATTGTTAATATATTATAAATTTGTTTTTTTTTAATTTTTATTAAAATATTTTTTTAATAAATATAATTATTTATTTATTTATTTATTTATTTAGCTCTTCCTGAAACTGTTCGTCTTGAACCACGAGATCTTAGTTATTTCCGACGTCCAGTACATGAAGCAGAAGTTAATATATGGCATGAACCAGATTCTAAACCAATATTTACATTTTTGCTACGACCACGTCTTATTCAAGAAGGCATTGGTTGTAAATTGATTTGCTGCGCTAATGGTAAACCTCAACCAAAGGTTAATAATTTTTTTTCATTATTATTTTATGATATAAGAAAATAATAATCTTCTTTCAATAGGTACAATGGTTTAAAGATCGTACTCAAATTGGCGAGAACGATACACATTATTTGACATCATATGTTCATGGTGTTTGTACCTTAGAGATTACAGCATGTGAAACAGCGGATAGTGCAACATTTCGTTGTACTGCTACAAATCCCTTAGGTTCTGATGAAACATCTTGTTTGATTCATGTTGAAGGTAAATAAATAATTTTCAAGAAATTCTTTTTTTTTTATAATTGAAAAACAAAAACATAAATATAATTTTGTATAGAAGTACGTCGAACACGACGTGCTCACTCAGTTCAACCAGGTGAAGGAGACACATCACGTGGTGGAAGTCGAGCACGTTCACCATCGCCTGTTCGTACAAGGGGTGGAGATTCAAGTTGGCGTGATAAATTAGGTGCTGGTAGTAAACCTGCACGTGATACACTTGACGTCGAAAAACCGAGTAAGTTATAGCATTTATTTCAACATAATAATTATTTATGAGATCTTATGATAAACGTTATCTTAAAATAGCTTTTTTTTTATCTATATGACAATTACGAAAATATAATTCTCTTGTTGATTAACCCAAAAATATTTTTCTATTTGTTGACAGATAAAGAATTAATTTGCTTTATTTAGAACGTAAAGAACGACGAGACCCACCAAAATTTACTGATCAACTTGTTGATGCTACTGTTTTTGAAGGTATATACAATTAGTTTTCTTCTTTTGTTTTTCTTACTGAATATTTTTTTAAAAATTAGGTGCCACAACTAAATTTCGCTGTGAAGTTAAAGGCAAACCATCACCTAAGATTGAATGGTTGAAGAATGGCGAGGTATAAAGATTTATTAAAGAAAAACAAAACAAAAACTAAAATTTTTATTATAGACTGTACAAGTTGAAGCTCGTATTCAACAAACATATGATGATGATTTAGCAACATTAGTCATCAAAAAAGTTAAATTAGATGATAATGGAGAATATATTTGTCGAGCTACAAATGATGAAGGTTCGGATACATCAAGTGCACAGCTTACTGTCAAAGGTATTTTAATAATTAATTTAATTTACATCTTAACAATTTAATTATATCTGTAGCTCATGTTGTCGGTGAAAATGAAGAAGAATATGCTGCAACATTAGCTCAAGAAGATGAAACAGCTGTTCAAGCAGCACCACAAGGAGCAACTGAAGAAACTACTGCTGCTGCTCCTGCTGTTGAACCAACAGAAGGTGCTGCTAGTGAAACAGCAGCTAAACTTGAAGAAAAACTTCCATCAGAAGTTGTTGCTGAAGCTGCAGAAGGTGCTACTACTTCAACAGAAGCAGCATCAGCCGAAGCACCAGTTAGTACTGAAGCTGCTCCTGCTCCAGCAGCAGAAACAGCTCCAGCAGCAGAAGCAGCTCCAGCAGCTGAACCAGCCCCAGCTGCTGAACCAGCTCCAGCTGCTGAACCAACTCCTGCACCAGAGCCAGCACCTGAACCTGCTAAACCAGCTGCTGGTAAAACTGCACCTGGTAAAAAACCAGCAACACCAGCTGCACCTGAAAAGAAACCAGCTGGAGCTGCTGCTTTGAAAAAACCTGAACCAGCTAAGAAACCTGAAGAAAAGAAAGAAGCTGCTGCACCAGCTGGTAAAAAACCTGTCGAGGATAAAACAAAAAAACCAGCTGCAGATGAAAAGAAAAAGGTTGGATTAAAACAAAAAAGAAAATATCGAAAAATTAATTTAAACTTTGTTTTTTTTCGTACTATAGACAGAAGAAGCTAAACCAAAAGCTGCTGAAGCAGCAGCACCACCTGCTGAACCTGAACAGAAGAAAGAAGAAGCTGAACCAAAGAAAAAAGACGAAGAAGAAGCAAAAGAAAAAACAGCTGAAGCCAAAGCAAAATTTGTTAAACATATTAAATCTCAAAATTTAATGGAAGGTGATCCATTAACACTTGATTGTGGTATTTCAGGTAAATATCTATTTTAAATTCTTTTTTTTTTTTATTAATTCGAAAATTTTTCTTCTTCTTCGTATTTCTAGGTGGTGGTGAAGAAGTTAATGTAACATGGTTACGAAATAATAAAGAAATACCAGAAAATCCAGATTTTCGACGTGAACATGATGGAAATATATTTAAATTAGTCGTTACTGAAGTGTAATTATATAAAGAAAAAACAGATCAAAGTCTTTTTCTTTTTAATGATTTGTTAATTTTTATAGATTTCCTGAAGATTCAGGTGTCTTTTCAGCTTTATTAAAAAATGTACCAACAGCTACTCCACGTGTTTCATCTTGCTCAGTCATCATTCAAGGTAAATATTTTTTCTTTGAACAATTTGAAAAAACAAAAAAGAATTATTTGTTTTATTAAGCACGCGATGAAGAACCACTCGATCCATGCTTTAGTCAATTTCCACAAAGTATTGGTGTAGAAGAAGGTCGTAAAGCGAAATTTTCATGCACATTAACAGGTTCAACACCAATGTCAGGTAAAAAAAATACACATATATAAATTATAAATTGCATATTGTTATTAATTTCTTATTTTTTGCTTATCATAGCTGATTGGAATTTGAATGGTAAACCACTTGATCGTAAATCAAGTCGATTTGCATTTACGGATAGTGAAAAGGAATTTTCATTTGAAATTCCTGTTGTTTTGGCAACTGATGAAGGTCAATATCATGTTACTATTTCGAATGATAAAGGAGAAATAACTGCTGCATTCAGTTTACATGTTGATGAATCGTGAAATTAGACAAATGATTAAATAAACAACAATAATCATAATATTATATATTTGTCAATGTGTGTGTATGTGTGCGTGGGAAAAACCAAAAAACAAAACAGAAAATCATCATTTAGATTGTTTTTCTTTTTATTTCATCTATTTGTATTTTTTTTAATACCTTGGCCGCTCAACCTTTTCTTGTTTTTTTTCTTTTTTTTTCTTCAATGTCTATGTTTTTTTTTCTCCCATTTAGAAAATTTAATACCTAACCTGTTCTTATGCTCTTTAGAAACACGCTCTATCTATATTTCTTTACAAAACAATTGTGTTTTTTGATGTGGGTGTGTGTGTAAATTGTTAAAGTCTTAACACCAAAAAGAAGGCAATTACAAGAACAACATAGTCTAGTGAAAAACATATGATCTAAATTTTAGTTTAAGCGTGAATTCAATAAAAAATTTTTATTTTATTTTTTTTTCTTTGAATTAAATTTTCTTTATTCTTAATAAAAGTACAACTATCAATAACAGTAACGAACATATAATAATACAAACCGGATAAACTATTGAGTAGATCTATGTTTCTTCTTAATAAGTTGCCAATATTGATTAAATTTATCAAAAGTATCACTTGTATTACCATGATGAATACTATCTGCACATGCAAATGCTTTTGAATGACGAAAAAAATGGTCACAACTCTTTATAAATTCAATTTTATAATCAGATAATGGTTGACGTGGAATAGATAGATAATCAGGTATGATACCACTATATAAAAAACAAACATCAATACATTAGCTTTAAAATTCATCAAAGAAAAGAAAAACAAAGCATACGTTAGATAAACATCAGATATTCGGAATGGTTCGAGATCTTGATAAGCAGTATAGAGAATGGCGTCTCTTGCTTTTTTCGATATTAAATAGCCAAAACCGGATAAAAATGTTGGATATCGTTCGCATGGATATTCATCATGTGTAACAATGTATCGACCTGATACTAGATTTTTTGAATGACGAAATACACGTGCATTCTTATGTTTATAACCATATATATGCATATCTGATATTAAAAATGAATTATTTATTGGTTGTTTAATTAATGGTGAAATAAATTTTAAAAGTAATATTAAATTAATAAAAACATCGTCATCAGTTTTAAATAAAAATTTTGCTGTACGACAATAACGAAATGACCATTCAAATAAAGATAAAACACGATGTGTAACTAATGTATATTCTTGTAATAATTCAACTTGAATTATATCATGAAAAAGATTATTTTCAAGTCGAATATGATGAATTAATTTTTCATTAAAATCAATAAGAAAAAAAAATTTTATATTTATTGTTGAATAAATATCAATATCTTTTCCTGATGCCCATGTACGACGAATAGCATCACGTGTTTTATAATTATCAGATTTTGATATAATTATTATTACCAAATCAACAAATTCATTTAAACACGCATCAGAATTATCTATTATAAATGTATAAAGATCAGTTCGTTGAAAACGACGAGAAGATAAATGTTTTCTAGAAGAAGTCAATGTTGAAAATGATGAACTAAATGAACAAAATAAATTCTTTCAAATGGATATGATTATAAAAATATTATTCGTTGTATTAAAATCAAAAATAGAATAATAGCTGAGTTTTCATCAAAAAAGGCATATTCAAATCGAACTGATAAGTTTAAATGATAAGAAAAAAATTCATCTGTTTTAGAGTAATTAAATGAGTTCCATTAACAAAATTTTTCCAATGTCTGTATTCTTGATTAATGATCTAGCCAGAGATTTTTTACACATGTATGATTAATGGAATGTGTTAGTCGTTTGATTAAACATCTTTTCATGACATATTAATGTGATGCATTCAAGCTTAACAAATTAGAACACTTAATCATCAAACAAGTTCGAAATTTTGTCTAGTATTTAGTATGAGCTAATGTATATATCTGTACCTAAAAAAAGCTGATAAAAATTTCTGTTTTCTTGTTTATACATCTAACACATGACAGATGGCTAAAAAGCAAAAGTAAACAGTATACGAAAACAAACTGTTAATAGTAAAATAAATAGTGTCATATTAAAGGACACTTTCACGGAAGTATTGATTAAGTTATTTTTGAAGATAAACAGAATATGATTAAGAATATCTGTCTTATAAGAATTTTTTTAAAGCACGTTAGATTTTTTTTATTATTTAAAATGATGATAAGTATTTTTGTTAGAGAAAAAATACACTTAATTTCTCTGATAAATTTATGTAATTTATAGAATCTCAATAGGAACTTATATTCTGTCGAAAATTTCTTGTTAAAAAAATTCGAATTAAATTTGTTCCAAGAGAAAAAATAGAAAGTAATTATGTTGCTCTTTTCATCAATCAACTTTACATTGAATAGCAAATATTTCTATATTGCTATAGACGTAATTCTAGAACATAAGTGATAATTCAAAAAAATTTTATCAACTGTCTGAAATCTTTGTCTTACTCAAACAAATCTGTGATAGATGTAGTCTATCCATCTCAAATCTTTAATCCATTGAAAATGATTCAAGTGACTAAAATAAGTCAAGAGATTTAGGACTGATTATAATTGTCAATGAATTAATAAAGATAGCCGGAATTTTTATTAATAAAACATTCCCTAATGGCAATAGTCTAATGTACTATCACAAGCTGTCATAAAACAATATTAATATAGGATATATGTAAGGGTTGAGGCTAATACTGTTAGAATATACATATCATAGCTTACAGTCATCAATGTAGTCGTTAGGAATGTTTTTAATCTACATCTAATTTACAGTCAAATTACTGGCATTTCGGAGGTCTATAATAGATCAGATTAGCGAGATAACATATCTGACTGTCGAGTACCATTTGACTTCATGTTATAGCTACGAATAGGTCTAGGTGAGGTTAAGACAAACTTGAAAAGATTCAGATGCATAGTCTACTAATAAAGAGTTATAGATGTTCTATTGAATTTTTTACTGAGAGCAAAGAATTGCCGAAAAATTCAAAAGAAAAGAGTTTCGATGTGAAATGTGACCAATAAGCACGTTTGATAGTCATTAGATCGCCTAGAAAATTTCAACGAAAATGAACATGTCTTTCTTGAGATATTCAATTTTCAAAAAAAAGAAAACAGCAGTTAACCACAGGAGGATACAATAATCAAGCCTACTTCGAAATCAAATATCTCGAGAAAGACATATGCGTTTTCCATCAAGACCTACTCGTAGTTATAATATGAAGTCGAACAGCGTCTGACAGTTAGGTATGTTCCTTCGTAAGTCGAATTTCTTAAATTCATTTAAGAATTTTATTCTCTAGAAAAATTTTTTTTTCCTACCTGGCTCTCGTACTGATAATTCTAGTATTGTTTTCAATTTGATCAGTAGTATTAATTATAGCCATCGTTTTCGATATATTTTGTATTCTTGTACATCTTAATCCTAATGAATATTCTTTTTGAACATGATTATAAAAATTCATTAAATCATTTTGATTATATTCATTTTCAAGTGTATTTTTAATAAATTCAATTGCTTTATTTGTTTTTATTACATATTGATTATACCGTTGTCGTTGAAAAATAATATTTGATATTTTTGTATTTGTTGCAGATAGAATTGGAATTGGTTCTTCTTCTTTTCGTTCATGAATAAAATAAATACAACCAAAAAATACATTAAAACATAGTAATATTAACAAGAAATGTTTTCTCATAAGGTAACTAATACAAGTATTGCTATGATTTGAACTATATACCATTATATGAAATTAGACGTTTCTGAACCGTATGAATGATGAATGACTTGTCTAAACACAAAAAAAAAAATTTACATATTTTATTCATGAAAGTGAGTTTTTTTTGGTAAAATATCAAATTTTGTTTGTTTAATGTATAGTTTGAATAAACTATGCTAATACAACAATAATGATAAGAAAAATGAAGTATGACTAAATCCAAAGAAGTAGACCAATCATAACAACGTAATTATGTACTGTTCAGAATGTCACGCACTTATTTTACTTTTCTCTTCTTATTTTTTTTTCTTACATGTTCTACGCTACATACTATTATTTGTATATTAGTGTTAGATTCCGATCGGATCAGACCTCGGTTCGAATCGGCTCGGGTCATAAAAATTTGACTCATGTCGAACACTATTGTATACTATATGATTTAAATTATGATCAAAACTTTTAATCCATTACTTTAAACGCGAATATAAAATTTGTATATCTGATGTAAATATAAATTATTTAATTAATAAAAAGAAATATAATTCAATATACAAGATATAGAATAAATAATTCAAATAGACAAATACTTAAACACAAAAATCGCTTTCACCTCAGACACCAATTGAAAAATAATGCATCAATTAATTCAAACAACATGGATAATATCATATAAAAAAACTTAGACGGCATTTGAGTTCTACTCGATAGTGAAATGCATTCCGTAGCTTCAAATATCGATTATCGAAAAACTCAATACCTCTCATAAAAAAAAAGAACAATTATTTCAGCGATTGATCAAAAAACGTTTTTCTCGAAATGATATTTAAATTTAAGTAGAAGTGCGGTTTTTTATACATCACTACAAATCGGAAAATTTAAGTTTTGATCAATCAAATAATCGATATCAAAATAAAAGTAAAAATGAAATGAAATTACTTGCGAGATTCATTACCAAGAGAACTCTATTAGCAGATATCAATGTTTTTAATTAATACTTTTTAATTCTCTCTCTGATTAAAGCCATTCTTCGTGTCAAAAACCTATTCTCATCCCAGGACGTCTGGTCTAGCTAAAAATTTCAGTGCAAAATATTGACTTTTTCAAGAATTATTCCTATGTTAAGGACCAAAAAATTAGTTTCCATGTACCTCACATTTCTCCCACAAATCTAATGATATGGATTTCGAGTTGGTGTCAAAACGTATCTAATACTTGCTGCTACAACTTAACAAAGTTCGATTTTTCAAATTCTTCTTTATCAATTTTTTTGTGTCAGTTTTTTTCGAGAAACTCTGAAAAACACGGATACTCCCGTGGAGAAAGATCCATTGGAGTGTGGATATGAGTGAAACGTAGTTTTTCTGTTTACTAAAACAGTAGAGAAAACACATCAATCGTAATCTACCATATGTTATCAATTGTGGCGTATCAAATGAAGACTTGCTCGTACTTGTACAGCGTCTAAATATCTGAATTTAGAAGAAAAAAAACATATGAGACGTGTGTGAGTATTCATGTTACTCAGCCGCAGCCAGCCCTACTAATATACACGTATACCAACAATACTGGCTGCTGAAATAGACAAAAGATTAGAAGAAGAAGAGAATAATTATAAACGTGAAAAAATGAAGTCGATAAAAGATAAAACAATGCATACTTATGTCAGAAGGCGTCTCTTATAACCTAACACTGTCACAACAATTACATAATTAAGTGAAAACTGGGAGGAAAAGAAATACAAGACACGAGCTGGCATCCCATTCTGCCTCTTTTCTTTTAAAATTCCTCTTTTTAGCCTCTTTTTCAGAAACATTCTCTTTTTCCTCTTTTCTCACAAAAAAGTAGCCTATTGGCGAAAACATCCATGAATATATTGATTAATGTTAACATATCATACAAAAAGATCACATAACACAAACTGATGTGCTGATCAGTCGAGGTGTATAGGTAGGGAGGCTAAATTATATGATTTTAATGATCAACTTCAGCGATGTTATATATCCCTAATTGGGACCGAATTTTTATAGCTCTCTAGTGGAGGCAAAATTACTCAATTATAAGTCATATTCAACTTATATTAATAACGTACGAGTTTTGTTGGATTTATAGTACTATTGTGCCAGTGGGTCTTAGCTTTCTTTGGACGAAACTGGATGCCTCTTTTTCTCCTCTTTTTTATTAAAAATCCTTCTTTTTTCAAGAACAGTGAGCCTCTTTTTTTTGTTACAAAGTGTTGGTGGGATGTCAGGATGCGAGTCCAATTGTTCGAAGACTTGCAGCGCTTGCTATTCCATGAATTTTTGGTAGCTTCTCCACTATGAGAAACCTTTGAAAAAGTTCAACAGGCAATAATAACTAACATATTCCAAGAAATTTTATTTCTCCTGATGTCAGGATCATCACTAAATCCCGTGTAAAACCACAAAAAAAACGTTAGAATTTCGATAAATAATACTGTTTTCGAAAGTAGACAATGAAGACTATCCAACCACATAAAAGTCTCTGAATCGATTTTTTTTTGACGAAAAACGCGTTTTTGACAGAGAGATATCTTAATTCTCTATCATCATCTATCTTAGATGTAAGCAAAGAGAGTTGCAGTTCTATCTTCATGTTAATTATATCAAACATTGCAAGAAAACTAAGTTCACAAGGGGTTGCATTGTTTTTGGTGGCTTCTTGTGAGAAAATGCAACGTATTCTGAAAGAATTAGAAAATGAATAGTATCGATTCGATTTTGAAATTTTATCTTTTGTATTTACATAAGTGCTTCCTGTTCTTGGGATCATTTTGACAGAAAATAGCAACTTTCGATATGTATATCACGAGATAAAAAAAACCTCGCGCAAAAGCACATCAATGCTACACTTCACATAATTGCCGCGCTTCGCGTCGCATTAAATATGTATTTATATATATATATATATAAATATTCGAAGGAGCTCATAGGCGGCGGAGCCACGAGGCCTGGGTAGGCTCGAGCCTACCCTAGATTGGATTTGGGTAGGCTTGGGTAGGCTCAAACTGGAACAGATAAAGGCTTGGGTAGGCTCGAGTTATCCTAAATTAAACATATAAAAAAGCTTGAGTAGGCTCGAATCGTCTTAGATTGAGGAGATAAAAGAGGCTTAGATAGGCTCTGTTTAATGTTAAAATTCTCTAAAGGGTGGTTCAAAAGTTTCGACCACTCTCTTTAAATCGATAGTATCTACAACAAACTAATATGAAGTTATTGATCAAATTAGGTCATCTTTTAGAGAAAGATATGAGTTATCATCTGAAAAAATATTTGGAAATAGATCTGGCATCTCACCAACATTTTGTAAAAAAAAAAGAGAAAAAAAGATGCCCAGCATTCTTGAAAAAAAGAGACTTTTTAATAGAAAAAGAGGAGAAAAAGAGGCGTACAGTTTCCTTTCGAAGAAAACTAAAACTCACCGGCACTATAGTACTATAGATCCGACAAAACTCGTACGTTATCAGTATAGGTTGAATATGACTTGAAAGAGAAAAATAAAAACGAAACTTCCAAATTGTTCAGAAATTTTTGTGCAGCTGCTTATTTATCCATTAGAAAACCGGAAAACATTAGAAAAATATTCTAAATATTCTATCTGCATAGAATCTGAGTATAATATTACTGTCTAACTAAGTAGGTATATAGAAATAGAAACAATCAAAATTCATTAAATGTCCTTTTTGCGTTTTGTTCCTTTTTTTTCGGATGGCTACGCATGTGAGAAAGTTTTTCTTGCGCTTTTTCAGTTTTCGGCAATTCTTCCGTGATTTTTCGCAAGTCAGTTTCACTTTTCCGTTTCTCAACATAAATTAATACATTGGTTGCAACTGTGTCCAGACAGCAGGTTTGTGGGAATCATTTGACCGCGTGCTATCGAAAACGCTTAATTTTTCGCAGTGACATATGATCATCTTCTTGGGTTCTGTATAAAACGACTTACTTGTATTGAGTAGATTGTATGATCTCTTACTTTTTGGTTATCGGATGCCCCTGTTTGTTGCTGTTGCATTTCATCATATCCGATTTCTTCCAAGTATCATCAAACCGTTGTCAATATTAACCCATGTCAAGCAAACACGCTCGTAATTGGAGAAATACGGCGTTTTATATCGCCCAGTAATGTGATCGTATAAATCCATGATTGCATGCGCAAAAATATGATCGTTTATAGACAAACAAAGCTCGTCTACACTTTTCGTTTGACTTTGTATTTTTTCGTATACGATTACATTTCTCCGTGTACGATTTGGAGATATACGAACCTCCAAAATGTGATTGTATATGAAGAAACTCGGAAGAAGAAGAAGAGGGATTACTTCATTTTCTGATAAGCAGAAATCTTCATCTTATGTTATCATACTATCGGAAGCTATCTTGCTGAACAACTCCCATTGAATCTGAAAGAATTCTAGACTGAATCTAGTCATCCTAGGAACTCTTTGCTTTGAAGCATGCGCTACGCTACGAGTTACCTATCTATTGTTAGATTCATATCACAAGCTTCTCTGGAGCCGAAAAAAATGGTCAAGAAAAGTGAGCTCGAGATTATATTTATACATGTCGATTTTAACCAGAAAAACATGTTAAGATCGTGAGAGAATGACAATTTCATATTGGAAACATAATTGAGTGCTTTTGCTTCCGCTAGAGAACCACAAAAATTGGGTTCCGATTATGGATATATAATATCGCTGAAATTGATCACTAAAATCATATACTTTAGCTTCCTTAGCTATGCAACTTGACTGATCAGCACATCAGTTTGTTATGTGATATTTTTGTATGATACGGTAACAATAATCAAAATATTCATGAATATTTTTGTCAACGACCTGCTTCTTCGTGAGAAAAGAGGAAAAAGTGGATTTTTTCGAAAAAAAGAGGCTAAAAAGAGGAATTTTAAAAGAACAGAAAAGGAGGAAAAGGAGGTGGAGTGAGATGCCAGCTCAAAGCTGCTAA